CCCCAAAACCCCAAAACCCCAAAACCCCTGAGAATAAAATAACAAGAAATATAGGAAATAATTTAAAATAATTGAAATATAAAGTATGAGCGACCATTAAATGAACGAATAATCACCAGACTAAAACGAGCAAGATTATGGAAGTAAGTAGTTTTTAGTTGTTAATAGCTTATTTTACAGACGAGCAAGATCAGAATCAAGATGATATGATTGGACAAGACCAAGTAGATCCTACTCAACACTAATTAGATATGCTACCTGAGGAGGAAATGAAGAGATAGGAAGAAGAGGCAATGTACCAGCAATAGCAAGAATATCTCCAAAGGTTACTAACTTAAAGGTTAATCAGCTTTATAGGCAGCAGCAATAATAGCAGCAGATGTAAAATCAACAACATATGGGAATGGGAGGAAATCAGTAGCAGATGGAATAGCAGTAAAAGCATTATTTTGACTCTATTGAAACTGACGAGTTCGTAATGCCCAATATGTTTGAAGTTGAAATCAGACTCGCTGATAATTAAGTACTTTACTCTTATCAACTTACTTTTCCTCTTATAGATTAAAATAGTCACTGTTGAGGTAGAAAAGGCTAGTAAACAAAAAGCTTACCTCGGTGGGTATAGAAATAATAGAACTGGACAAGGATATCATCATGCCTTTACTCAAACTGATTAAACAGCTAATTACCATCCAGAGAAGAACGAGAGAATGGTTTAGACTTATCAATACAAGACTAAATCAACTATTATGATGCGAGAATTCGGCACTCAAATGGAGAAGACTGGCTTATATATTGATTAGAGAAACGATAAAATTATCTATCCCAAGCCATATTTCTCCTCTGAGATGTGGAAGAAGCAAAGAGAAGAAATTACTCTCTACATATAATGTCACGTCAGAGCATGGTTTGCAAGAAAATAAACAAATGCCTTAAGAAAACTAAGGGACGATAGGGATATGGAGCTATTGAGAAAGTAAGAGGAGTTGAGACAATAAGAGGAAAAGAAGCACAAGGTAGAAATTGAAAGAAGAATGCACCCCAAGAAATATAAGGATTTCGATATTCTATATAATGAGTTGGAGGCTTGGAGACTCAATGAGACTAAGAAGATAAAGAACTCAACTGACTTGACTGAGGACGAGAAGAAACTAGCTCTTCAATAATTGCTTCACAAAGAAACTAAAATCTTGCAACAGATAGATAAATTAAAGATCACTGCTAATTCTTAAAACAAAGAAGATAAAATCAATAACTTCCTAAAAGCTATGAGTGACCCTAAGCTGTGGAAGAGAACAGATGGTAGATACACTGAGGTTCATACACCTTTCTCTACAAGAGCGAAGGAGCTCATGGATCTATATAATGGTCTTAGATTACCATTTCTTAGTACTGATGAGAGACTTGATGTACTGTTGCATACTAAGTGGACAGTAAAGGAGTTCGACTGTAATTTAACAAGAGAAATAGTAGATCTCATCGATAGAGAGGCAGATATGCTAAACAGAGGTAGGTCTGAGAGTAGTCTCGAAGGCCTAAGGAAAAGACTCTCTAATCTCTTCCTTCAGTTCATTGAGACTCCAGAATTCAATCCAGAAGCTGCAAGATTCCAAAAAGTGCCTAGAGAACTACTGCAATAGACATAATCGATTATTTTCGAATGATAATCACTCACTTCCTTTTATTCATATAATCATTCTGATGTATTTAAGTAAATTATAATCTTGTTTCATAAGCATTCTTTATCAATGAGCGGGGTTTTGGGGTTTTGGGGTTTTGGGG